CTCTCTCTCTCTGTTTCTCTCTGCTGTTGGAGAGCTCGCTCAAAAGCAAGTGTGCAGTTCTGCCTCGTCTTCAGTTGTGTGCGTGGTGCAACGGGGCAGATGGATAAGGAAAAGAAGAAGAGGGGGAGACAGAGGTAGAGATGAGAGAGGGGGGGAAAGAGTGTGGCAGACAGCTGAGGAGGGAACTGTTATCCATACAATGGAGAACGGAAGATGACTGAATTATACAGCGGGATATTTATTCAGAAGACAAACTGTTGGCTGTGTGGTAAGTGAGCAACTAGTACACATCTAAGACTTTGCTCTGGCATGTGACAGCACATAAAACCCAAGTCTTAGCATCTTGGTGAGCTGAAGTTATGATGTTACCTCTAAAAAGATGACATAATTAGACATTGAATATCGCAGCGATGCACAAAGAAGATCTCCAGTTTCGACTTCTGCGTCCTCAGACTCTCAGGAGAAGTTCTGAACTGTTTGTGATGAGCAACAACCCTCCTTAATGCCCCTGGGAGCGGAAAAAAGGGAGGCTCCTCTCCACCTGAGGGTCGAAGGCTGCACCAAAGCCAGATCGAACGCTCTGTGACTCAAATCCACCTGTCACACTCTGTGGGCTGCCGGGTTTCTTATCACAGCTGTGGCGTGGTGGCATGAAATCCAGTGAGAAAGGGGAATCTGATTAAGAGATCAGACTGATATAAGGTGTCTGTGTGTGATAGCGCTGTCACTTGCATGCAGATGTTTATGTTTGTTTTTAAGTGAGCAGGCTTTCCCAACAGCTGCAGCAGTGTGTAACCCAGAGAGACACAGAGACAAACAGGTTAAAGACCTCTGATAGGCAGAGATAAAAACTTCTGAAGTGAGAACTAGGGCCGCCATTCTTGAGCCTTAAGGATATTTTTCTGATTCTGTTATTAAGCCAATAATAACGCAAAGATCCTCTCCCCACTCCCAAGCTTCAGGTTTGTCTTATCTCCATAAGCTCAATACAAACTGTTGCTTTGACTAACATGATCAGTAATTTCTAATCACATTAATTGTACTGAATTTAATTCAACATGACTTTTATATGGACAGGAATGTTGCTGTTGTGCCAGAATTTGTTTGGAAGAGACCAGTGCATGTCACCTTTTATAGGCATCAAAGATAGTAAACAGTAGACAGTAAACAAAATGAAATCACCTGTGATTTGGTGTTTGGTCTCTTTATTATCCAAATGACTGCAAATTAGACAAATGGTCATTTGTTTTCAATAAATCTATCAAAGGACTAGAGAAATAAAATCTTGAATCTTTCACATCGTCTAACTTTGTTTGATCAATTTAAGAATAAGTAATACTTTTTCTATTTTGTTCATTTTTTGTCTTTTATTTACAGTATTTACAGTATTTTTCTGATGTTGTTTGGAGGTTTCTATGAATACAAAATGATGAGACTCAATAAGCATTCTCCAGGTAAACACTATTCACTCAGTGTAGAAGTTCATTGTTAACTATTCACACTACAAGTGCTATTCCGATGTAAATTTATGGATATGCTAATTTAGCAAATGGGAAAATAATGGGAGAGAAATTTCATTCTAGTTCCTGATATTGTGCATCCATATTAGCATATGGGCTGTCTGTACTGCAGATGTTAATTTGAAGGATTATGAAGAAAGATGAGCACATCAGGTATGTAGATAGCGTAGGATAGTGCATGTGAAACAAAAGCCACGCAGCATCTGATTTGATGCAGAAACTGGGCTTCAGTGAATCGAATTAGTGCAAAGTGCTGTCGTACTTTTGGTGTGTCGTGAAGGCTTGCAGTGCCCCAGTGGTGCACATGGAAACAGAGATGGAACTAGGAGGAAACAATAATTATCCTTATCAATGGGAGTGTTCATAGACATTGATTTTATCCCTTTAAAAGCAGTGCATACTGACAGTGGTGGTAATGGAGTGGAGAGTCCAGATCAGCATCTCTTGAGAGGAAAGCACATTCTTGCGTGTGACAGGCAGAGTAATTATTTTCCAGCAGCCTAATGGTGGTTGTGTACATTTTAATGAAGCTAACCACAGTGGATCTGGTGTGCATAATTCTGCTCTGAAAATGGACATTACTCCAATTAGAAACTACAGATGGGGCATATATCAGCATATTCAGATGGTTTTCTAGTAAGTTTACAGGAAGGGAAGGCCTTTGTGGGTTAGTTTGTGCTAATTTGATTTAACACATCTTTATTAGGGCTGTGTGAACACAGTACAAACTTAAATAATGAAGCTTGTAAACCTAGATTATGACACAAAATTAGCTACTAGCGACCTGCCTTTGAACTTAAGTACAAATGTAAAATCAATCAAATGACCAAAACCAAAATACAAGTAGTAAACCAGGGGCTTCGGGGGCCCTGGGGTAGTTGCCCATTTTACCAGGTTGGTGAGTCAGATTGCTAACTGTGCGCCAACAGTCTTCATCCCAACCCAAAAACCTCCTCCCTCTCATTAGTGTTTCAAGTCGAAAGGAAGACCTCATTAGTAAAATCACCTGCTGAGGGGATCAGTTGTAATAAAAAAACCTGCAGACTGTTGGCTCTGCATGGCACAGGTTTGGCCAACCTTGAGCTATACTTTGCTCTACTGTTAATAATCAGAATAAAAATCAGAATAAATAAAAATGTCTTTGCTGTGCATTGCGACGTGTTGGATAGTTGTATGACCTGATCTGTTTCATTTTGGTCATTAATTTATATTGACACTGAACAACAGAAATAAGCACCGAAAAGTTTCTTTAAACAGTTTCACATCACAGTCACACACCCGCTCAGAGAAAGGATGCAGCTATCTCGCTGTGCACCGGATAAATGTTGACAGGTTATGTTTTAAAGATTGATATGTTAACTGACACAAAGCTTGTTCCCATGTTCCATCTCACACTCTGCTTGTGTTCAATTATTCCTAATGGTTCTATTTGTTCCTCTCTTACAGACACGGCATTTGCTGGAATCGCAAACAGTGTTTTGATAGTGCAGACTACTGTGAAATCAACATCGCCGGAAAAAGCTGCGAGGCTCATCTGTATGGCGGAGTGGTGGTGTGTCACCCTAAAGAAGCTAAAAAGAGAAACAGAGCCTTGAGGAGTAAACATTCATCTCTGCAGTGAGAGGCACAGGCAGACTTTCCTGCTCTCTGATCTAAATATTCAGAAAAAGACAATGTGCATCGAGCCAAGGAACACTCCCCTTTCACAGCCACAATACATATAGATTTTTAAAATACAATTTAAATTTGCCTTAAAATACCCACTGCACTTAACTATATTATGGGAATAAGTCCATCTGTGGACATGAGTAATCATAATCCTATGGATTCAAACTTCTACAAATAAGTCTTAAAAGAAGACACTGGTGATGCTCAGTCTCACTCGTTCCCTAACAAAGACATCATGGAACCAACTTAAAATCTGATATTCACACTGACCAAAACTGGACACTGCAGTCCAGTCTCCATTATGGAATCTCAAGAGAGCCTGACAGGACTGTCCACAGCTGCGTTGGTGGCCATCGCCTGCAACACATTTGTTGCCATCCTCCTCCTTCTTCTCTGTCTAATCCTCTACCGAGCCTGCAGGGTCCCCTCCAGCCCGGAGAGGCTGCCGGTGCTGGCTCCCAGTGAAGGAGAACCCCAGCAGATGAACGAGCACAAGTACCTATTGACCTCCTGACTGCAGAAAGATGAGTCAAACGTGTCAACGGGCGATGGCCTCGGTGCACTCCTCCACAGGAGAGGGGACTGGGGGGCGCGGAGACCGACTGCAAGCAATAATCCAGCTCGTCCTTCAAAGTTTCTAAAGTCCGCTGTCGATCTGACAGCTGACAAAGATAGCAAGGAGGAATTGAGGGGAAACTATTTTTAAGCAGACATCACTTGTCAGATCTCGTCCTTGGTTTGACAAAGTGCACGAGGAATGCCGACATACACCGTCTGAAGGAAAAAGACCACGCGGATGGATGCAGGTTACACATGGACTGAGAGAAAGCAGTGTTCAGTACACAAAGAGCTGCTGGCCTGTTGTTGGAGGTTTCTAAATATAACCTCTTATTTCATACTTCTGAAAAAAAAAGAGAAAACCAGTCTATTGCTGAGAACAGGGGACTTGAGCCTGTGTGGAGTGTGTGTGTCATTGTCACTCATAAATACCAGCAACCTGTGAGGCATAGCGCCTTGCTGAGGGTGTTACATAAGGACTAGAGAGGCTTAGTTGAGATTTGTGTCCTCTTCAATACGGCCCTCACACTGACATCTGCTAGTGACTGCTCCGTGATGGCCCACTCACTCTGGACCGAATCACAGGACGCTCACCTACAGAGGGATTTTATCATATGGAATTCTACACCCCACAACAAATTATCAACACTTAAGCATTTAACTTGTATCGCTTGCCGCAGCTTCAGACTCAACAGGGCATGTTGTAGAGTTAAAAGTTTTTATGATGTGTATTTTACAGTACCTTCCGCACTGAGTAAGGAGTAAATAAGAAAGGGTTGCAGAATATATTACTGTTGTGGCTGTTAAAGCTACTATGTGTAGAAAACTTTAGGGCATCCCCAGTGGTAGTACCCTGACAGCAGTCCTAAAAATTCAACATAAAGAACTGTGACAGACATTAGAACAAACGGTTCTTTGGCCAACCCTGCAGTACGCCTCCTATTATCGCAGAAATGAGGTAACTGCTGGATTCTCAGTAGTATCCGAACGGCTACAATCATTAGTTACGCATTGTCTGTAAAAATGAGGTGATCGAACGGCGCTCTCTAACTAAACTTGTGGAGATGAAGGAATGAATCACACTTAAGGGAGAGCGTGCTGCGTGTGTTCGCAGGAAGATGTGAAGGGCAGAGGAGCTCTCTGTAGCAGAGAGAGAAAGAAAACCCGGGACGCTGTGGCAGCATTTGATTCCAGAGCATCAGAGCACTGGGTGGTACTTTACTGAAGGACAAGATCATTAAGACAGAGAGGAAGGGAGAGAAGGCAAAATAAAGATGGACACTGCCATGACTCAAAGCAAAGTTCTCCCAGTAGATGGGATATTAAAAGGCTCCTAGCTCATCCCTGGACCAGTGCCCAGGACGGCATGTGCCAGCCAAGATAAGTTGTCTGGATGTGGTCCATAAATGGACCCTATTACGCTAATTTATCTCCCAGTTCACTTGCAGTAACTCTCCCCCCTCACTTTTCAGCTTAATCAACTTGTACAATACATACGAAATGGGTTTATTAAATCCCTGCAGAAGAGGTCAGTCAAGTCAATGGAACTCTAATGTTGCCTGTTTAATATGTATCAAGTACTGCAGTATAAATACATGCATTATTAATTGAACATGAATCATTTATTAACAGTTTAAGAGGATCAGAGGAAAACATTTTTAATAAACATATACAAATAGTTTTCTTGTTATTTCAGTGTTGTTGACTGTTTACAAACTGAGCAAAGGAAGTGGGGATTTTTATGAATGAGAATAAAAGATTGTACCATGTTGCTGTGTTGGGGAGAGAAGCTTCAGAGGCCATGTTAAACTGTGCTTTGCTCTGGTTCTCTCAACAGGCTGAGGAGCTTCTCCATCTTGACTACTTCCACTTCTGGACCCTTAGGCATGTCTTGACCCTTCTTGCTCTACACACACACACATACAGAAAGAGAGAGAGAGAGAGAGAGAGGAATAAGAAATGACTTGACTTCACACTTTCCAAGCACTGGGAGAGACCACAGACCCAGCAGGCAGGCAGTTAACAAGAGGAGAGCACAACATAATCAGACAGAAAGTGAAATGGATATAAGGTCAATAGTTGAACAGTAGTTATATTACTCCGTTATTTAATAATTTCTTTCCACCATATTGTGAAAAGTGCTACCTAAAGGGCACAATTGCAAAGGGCAAATTCAAAGACATCTTCTAATAAATACACTACTGTGTGTGGAAAAGCACAGCCACTTAAGAGCTATATAATGTGGCTAAACGTTTGTCTTGTCCTGCTGCAGGACCTCTTTCTACCTCTGTTAAAGGATATTTAACAGGCCTATTGTTACTCATTTACTCTTGTCTAAGTACTATTGTTTAAGTCTTTTCTCAACTGAACTGGACTTTGATTAAAGAAGCCTGATACCAAAAGTTCAACATAGCTTCACTTGATTTTAACCATCCTAAATCAGGAAATAACACATTTAGAAGTTGGGAATTTAAGAGACAACGCGCATTACAGCTGTATGATCACTGTGCAACTGGTGACATAATTGTGCCACATTTTAAGGTAGTAATTTATTATATATAATTAGCTATATAATGATATTACAACTTACCGGATATGCTGTACAAATACGATGGACGATATTATTGTTTATACTAATAGAGACTGGAGATTCTCAGGTGGAAGAAAAAGCAAAAAAAAATATTCTAGCAGTGTAAAGATCTTATTTTAACTTATTATCTAACAACTATTTATGTATCAGTGAATCTATTTAACTGTCCGGCTCTTACCAAGACATCCAAGAAACTGGCACAAGAACGAAAATGGAAGCAGTCCACAATTCATTTTGGTTTATTACAGAGACAACTGAAAGGATGCATCAAGATGCTTGCTGTGGCCTGAAAGCTTTTTCACAGCAGACACTTGCTGGCAGAGGAAAAGCAGCGGTGTAACTAATAAAATGAATGATGGCCCGTTATATTCAAGCGTCCCGGTAAGTAATACTAGTGAGCCAAAATGCACATTACACAGGACCCTGGAACTAAAAAGGTCTATTCTAGTCAAGTTTTATTTAGTGTGTGTTCACACTGGATAAATGACAGCACGAAGGATAAAAATACCAGTATGCATACTAAAATACATGAGTGTTGATGGACCATCCCTTAATGCAACAGACAGTGGAAATACACAGTCATAAAAAAATGGTGGTTGGTGCTCTGGCTTTGACAACAAAATACACTTTTAGCCTTAATTTGATGTCTGTGCACCTTTTATCATATCCTGCTAGCAGAAAATTAGTACATAATAGCTCGTATTAGTATGGAATTGGCACAGAGTGACAAAATGTGAAACCTCTATTCACTAGTCGAATAAATGAGGGGTGTCTTCTAACTCCTCCTTTGAAGCTTAGAAAATGTATATCTATATTTTGATGTAGCTATTTTGAAGTGTGAAATGGATACAGCGAGGGGGCTAATCCAGACAGACAGCTGCATTCCCTAAACGAGTGAGCATCAAACCTCGATGCAACATAATATCTCTGCCATGATGAATGGCTCAATAAAGCAGAGGAGAGAAAGGCTGACTAGGGCACACAACAGCACCTAAAATGAATAAAACTTCAAGTTTAATCAAAATCATTAAAATTCATTATCTCTCAGGATGTCAACCCTTGTTCTGATTTATTTTCTAAATTCCTATTTTTGCTTGCTTCGCTTACAGCAACAGTGAAATCCCTTTGCTGTGTCTACTGCACACAGATAGGAAGCCCCACCTGAGTTGCAAGGCTCAGAAATTTATGTCTGTTAATTTTCTTGTACTCAACATTAATACAAATGTAAATGTTATGATAGACTTTATATTCTGGGAGACAGTAGAGATTAACAGACAATAACAAGATATTGCATAACTGCCACTTGTGGTTTGCGGGCAGCAAAGAACGAGGCCACTGCAAAGAGATGAGCAGATGAGATGAACACATTCATGCTGCACACAGTTGAACAGAACAGCGCGTTGTGTTCAACACAGACAGGAGTCATTTGGTGTTAGTGGTCATCTAAAGCTGAGGAACTTCAATGTACACTATCATTTCTTTACAGTTCACTTTCAGGTACTTAATATGCATTATGTGAATTGTGACACACTTTCAGACCAGTTTTAATTAGAAAGTGATGACTGCACAAACCTTATCTATCACAGCAGACTCTTGTTTCACTTAGACTTGCAAACATTTAACACAGACCCTCCACGATTAACTCCACATATCCACAGGCCTATACAATTCTGTGTGTACAGCATAACAGCCTGTACACCTGACACTAGCTCATTAGGGACTGTAGCCTTTAAGCATACAACTAGGAAATAAGTGCTCAGTTCAGTACAGT